CGGAGAAGGGAGAGGGCAGGCGGCCACTTCGGCTCCCAGCGCCAGCTCTCCGCTGAGGCGTACGCCGGGAGGGAGGTTCCAGCCACCCACCTGTGAGACCCCCACCACTGTCCTGCTCCCAGCCCCCGCCGCGTGGGCATTTGGGGGTGGGCCAACGCACAGGAACGGGCTGCCCTGCCTTGTCCCTGTTATGTCAAACACACACAAAATTAAAATCTATTCACTTCCATTGGAAAGGCAGATCAGATTTACAGAGAGAAAGATCTTCCACCTGCTAGTTCACCCCTCAAGTGGCTGCAATGGCCAGAGCTGAACCGATCCGAAGCCAGGAGCCGGGGCTTCTTCCAGGTCTCTCACATTGGTGCAGGATAGCAAGGCCTTGCGCCATCCTCTGTTGCCCTCCCAGGTCACAAGCAGGGAGTTGAATGGGAAGTGGAGCAGCTAGGACACGGACCAGCATACGTACAGGATCCTGGCACCTGCAAGGTGAGGATTTAGCTATTGAGCCATTGTGACAGGCCCAAAGTAATGACATTTTTATACGAAAAGCAAAACAGGAAATACGAACGTTTGGTGTAACATGAATGAAGTGTTGCAGGCCCACTGAATGGCGTCCGTCAGAGAAGCTGGTGGAGGCCCTGGGGAGGGGGCGGGCAGAGTGCAGGGAGCTTTTCAGCTGGCTGTTCCGGACTCACGGACCGGTGGCCTGGCATCCCGCTCTGCCCCCCGGCTTCCCGTATGTGGCATGGGAGAGCTGGGGTGCAGTGATCTCAAGTCCTCTCCTAACCCCGACTTTCTGGGTATCCTTCAGTCCACTTGTGGGTGCCCAGAACAAATCCCCTTTAGGTTCCCAATATTGCTCACCGTAGCCCCGATCTTGCCCATCTTGCTATCCCCTGGCTGAGCTGGCTCCTGTCTCCCCCCATGGGTTATGTCAGGGCTCTGACACAGTCCTCCTTTTCTTCTCCTCCCGGCTGGCTCTCGGCCCTCCTGGGCAGTCCACTGGGCATGGCACATAGTCTCAGGAGCTCAGCCTGGGCCTCCCTGGACCTCCCGCAGGCCCTGCTCCTGGGGAGCAGCCCCCATTCCCCGCGCACTCTGTGTCTGTGCCCTGGCCTTCCTGCGGTGCAGGGCTCCCTGCCAGTGACACATGCCTCTCTGTTTACCTGCTTCGACCTTGCTGCCACTCACAGCCTCCTTCAGCAAAGCTGTCTCCTGCCAAAGCCGTTCCAGTTCTTAGCTCCAGGCGGAGAGCGCCTGCAGATGACTTCATTTAGAAGGCATTCCTTGCTCTGTAGCTCTGACTCCAGGGGTCCGCAGGGTCGTGACCTCACAGGGGCTGGGGCCTGCCTTGTAATGAGGGTCTTCATCCGGATCCCACACCTGCTGAACCTGGCAGGGGGACAGTGTAGCCTTGCTTGCTTGCAGTGACTGCCTCCGTGCTTGCTCGGTGGACATTGGTTAAGGGACACAGGGCTGGGTCAGAAAACCCAGGGCAAGTGTCTGGATGCCCGTGGCCCCCACTATTCCGCCTGTGTAATGGACACAGCAGGGGTCTGGCCTCAGTGGGATGCTCTGAGGCATGTGTGAGTATGAGAGTTGTGAGTGTTTAAACATGAGCGTGTGTATGAGTGAGTGTACGTGTGGGGCATGATCCTGTAGCGTCTGGCTCCAGCACTGACGCTGCTGTGACGAGAAAGGCCGCAGGTGCCAGTGCTGGCCTTCTGGGCTTTCCACTGACTCCTGGGGATGTTTTGGAACTTAGGGGGGTGTCTGGGAGGCAGGATGGGCGCCGTTGCCCCTGACCTGGGGTTGCAGTTGCTGCTGGAGGCAGCTCTCAGCGTGTTCTCCCTCCCCCCCAAAATCTTGCCTTTCCTGTCTAGCCCCCAGGTCCCTGCTGGGGACCCGTCCTCCCCGTCCTTCCCTCACTTTCCTTCCAACCAGAGCAAATCTCACCTGGTCTGGGAAGCCTTGCCCGACACCTGAGCCAGGTGAGGGCTTCCTGCTTCATTTGTTCACATATTCACTCACTCATTTGTTCCACCCCTCCAACCTTGCTGAAATGCATCTTAGATTCTAGACACTGGCGCATGGCGGCAGTCCCTCGGGCAGTGGGGCAGCAGACCTCACCTCCCCAGGCTGATTGCTCCCTGGGGGCCCCAGGAAATTCCAGGTGGGCATGAACTCCACAAGGTGGGCGGCCTCTCCGGCAGCCCAGGGCAGCCGCACCCGCCAAAGGTGCCAGCTGGGTGTGCTCAGTCACCGCTTGTGGCAGGTGTACAGATGTTTTGTGAAGCACCAGGGATTTCTGTCTGAAGTCTCACCTCCCCACGCAGGATCCGGCTGAGCACCTTCCTGTGACCACCCTTGGGGAATAGCTGAGAGTGGGCACCCACGCACCTCCTGCCACCAGCACCACCCCTCCCTGCCACCCACCATGGGCACCCCTGCCTTTGCATGCTGGCCTCCCTGATGGCCCTGAGGATGCCAAGACAGGCCCCAACATGGTGGCTTGCGGTGGGAGGAGGAGTTCCTTCTCTTACAGTTCCAGGTTGAGGGTGAGGTGGGGTGGGCGGAGCTCAGCAGGACTGAACCCTCTAGAAGATTCTCTCCTGGACTCTGGTATTGCTGGGTTGCCCCACCCCCCACCACGTGCCCACTTCTGCTTCCCACAAGCACAGCAGGGCACTCAGCCTGGGGTCACATCAACAAAGATCCTTTCTCCAAGCTCAGGGCGCCAGGACACAGCCATATCCTTTTGGGGTCACAGTCCCACCTGGTGCCAGGGCAGAGGAAGGCCATGGGATGGGTGATGTGGCTCACACAGCACCGAGGGCCCATTGCAACCCGTGGGAGCCGAGTGGGAAGAGACAGGGCCCAGGACTCAGGGCAGGGGACCCAAGATTTGCTTAGTGACAAATTGTAGGCAGCCTCGTAGCAAACACACTGTACTGTGCTTCTCAATTTCTGGAAAAGAAAGTGGACCTCATGTCACGTGCTGTTTCCCACTGGGGCACAAGGCAGCTCGAGCAGGGACGGGCACTTTAGGACCTTGATTGTGGGATGGTTTTGTGGGGGCCGCATCAGTCTAAGGCAGCCGACTGTGCTCCTTAAATATGCTTTGTGAAACCGTCTACTGATCATCATAACAATAGTAAAGGGGCATTGAATAAAATGTGTTCTAAGCCGGAACGCACGGGGCAGGGTGGTGACCAGGGCAGCGCTGGAGCCGATCTGAATGCCCCCAGAGACCCAGAGACCACAGCACGGCAGCCAGCTGGACATCCGGGGTGGCAGGGGAGGGCCAAGGGCCGGCCAGCCCACCCCGAGTATCAGTGAGACCCAGGTGTTAGAAAAACTGAGTCCATATGCCAGCTACTGCCTTAAATTTTTTTTAAAAGATTTATTTATTTTTATTGGAAAGGCAGGTCAGATTTATGAAGAGAAAAAGATCTTCTACCCACTGGTTCACTCCGGCCACAATGGCCGGAGTTGAGGCGATCTGCAGCCAGGAGCTTCTTCCGGGTCTCCCACGCAGGTGCAGGGTCCCAAAGCCTGGGCCGTCCTCGACTGCTCTCCCAGACCACAAGCAGGGAGCTGGACCGGAAGTGGTATAGCCGGGACCTGGATGGGTGCCCATATGGGATCCTGGCACTTGCAAAGTGAGGATTTAGCCATTGAGCCATCACACTGATTCACTCCCCCCACTTTTTTTTTTTAAGTTGTATTTATTTATTTTAAAGTTAGAGTGACACAGAGAAAGGGAGAGCCAGAAAGGTCTCTTTCCTCTGTGATTCATGCCTTAAATGGGCATGATGGGTAGGCTGGGCCAGGTCAAAGCCAGGGGCCAGGGATTCCATCCGAGAACCCCAGGTGGGTGCCAGGGGTCCAAGTACTCGGAGCACCTTCCACTGTTTTCCCCCGGGAACTAACAGGGAGCTGGATGGGAGGTGGAGAAGCCGGGACTCAAACCCTGGCTCCTAGGGGGTGTCGGTGTTGCAAACAGCGGCTTAACGTGCCGTGTCACAGCCAGCTGCCAGCTGGCTTCCCTGCACACACTGTGGGGTCTCTGTTCTCCAGAACTCTTGTGAGGCCACTTGGGGTTGGAGTCAGCCCCGGCCCCTCGTGGGCATCACTGCTTGCATGGGCCCCAACCTTGGAGGGCTCAGGAGCCTCAGGATGGGATGCACGCTGCTGCAATTTCAAGACAACCCCCCAAATCCCAAGCCTGCAGCTTAGCTGATGCCGGGCACCCCTGGGAAACGTGGCTCCCCATAGGGACTCATGGCTTTGCACACAGTCCCCACTGGGGCTTCCCCTCCGGAAAAGAACATGGCCATTCCCCACATGGCCACCTGCTTCTCCCAGGCGTGCTCGCACAGCTTCTGCTGCTGTCCCACCTCCTCTCTGTACCTGTGGGCCACATGTAGAAAGTTCCAGAAAGAATCCAGGACTTAGAGCCAGTTCCCTGGATGGGCACGGGGAGGTCAGTCCAGATCTCCCTGCTGTGTTGCTCACCCATTCCCTCATGACCCCAGGTCCCTGACCAGCTAACTGCCCCTGGGCAGTGAAGTCCTGGGAGCCTGCCTGTAGGCAGCTTTGCCTTCCACCTGCTGACGAAAAGAGGGGCCACGGAGCTCCTGGCAAGCAGCTGAGGATAGAACACACGTGGGGGTGGGGGATCCCCGTGGCAGCCCAGCCTGGAGGACGACTTTCTGGGGGTACCCTGTGATCTCAGGACATCACCCACAAAGCCTGCCTCCCGTAACTGGCACCCTGATCCCAGCAAAAGGTGTGTGTGTGGAGGGGTGCTTTGGGACATGGATGCTTGACACTGAAGTGACAGCTGCACCCCGGGGCGGCCAGCCCAGCCCAGCTGCCTCACTGCACCTGCTCTTGCACTGTCTGTCCAACTGGGGTGATGGGGATAGCAAGGAGAGTGGGAGCCCGTGGCGGCCCAGCCGCACCTGCCAGCTGCCAGCTCTGCCCTCTGTCCGCAGGTGGCCGCCCATCTCGACACCTTCCCCACTGAGGCCGACCGTAGGAGAGCATTCCAAGCCCACCGAGAAGAGTGTGCGGTGCGCCAGGGCACCCTGCGGATGGGCAACTATACCCACCCCTGAGCAGCCCTCTCCAGCAGCCGGCGAGACCCTCCTTCCTGCCCCAGCTCCAGCATTGCCCCAGCCCCCAGCCTTCTGCAGCTTCTGCTGCTACTGTTGCTATTGCTGCCAGAATCCCCACACATGGGGCTTCGTGGCAGCCTCACCTGGCACAGCGTCCTCTTTCGGGGACCCCTGAGGGCAGGAGGGGCCTCCCCACCCCCTGAACTGGGCCTTGCTGATCAGGCGAGCCCCCATGACTTGGGGGTGGCCGATGTCCCAGGCCCTCTTCACACCGCCCCATCTTCCCTGTCTCCTATGGCTTTATCCCCACGAAACAGCTGCTTCTGAGTTTCAATTAAAAGTGCTGTTGGTAGGCCTCCTGCGATGGACTACTCTGAGTACCAGGAATGAGACTCTCCCAGGCAGACCCCCGGCCCGAGGGCTCCCAATTTTGCCCTGGAATGTGTCCCCAGTCCCCAGCTTCAGTCCTGGACCGGCCGCGGCCATGGTGTCACTGAGACAGCGAAGGGAGGCCTCATTCTTTCTCCCTCTCTGCCGCTAAAAGAGACAAATAAAATCTTAAATGACAAACAGTTAGCCATACTAAAGAGTACTCGCTGCCATCGCCCAGGGGGCTCACTGCCGCCAGCTCTCCTCTTTGCCCGGCAGAGCCCACCAGGTTTGCTCACTTCTTTCCCTCTCCAGCAGGTGTTGTCTTGGGTCAGGGGTCTAAGCCCGGTTCGCTAGGGTCAGCCCGACACAGGTCTGCCTGAAGCTGGCAGGAAATAAGTACCAGGAAAAGGCTCTGCACCAAGTACAAATTTTCCGAGTGGAATAAATGCTTGATTCTGGTTCCCCCTCCTGGGTGCTCAGCCACAGAAGGAGAGGGGCCTCTGTGATTCCAAACCCACCCCCACTGCACCAGGGAGGTGCCACCTAACCCCATCCCACACCAGGGACCTGCAGCGCCCCTCCCACAACCACCACAGGAGCCAAAGCCCCCCACCCATCACTCCCGACCACTGGGCACTGGACAGCCAAGGCAGAGAGAGCTTCCTCTGCTGGTTTACTCCCCAGATGGCTGCAATGGCTGAAGCCATGTGCGTACAGAGGCCCATGTATTTGGGCCATTTCTGTGGCTTTTCCAGGCCACTAGCAGGGAGCTGGACTGAAAGTAGAGCCATTGGACTTGAACCAGCACTCATAAGGATGCCAGGGTCCTGGGCAGCAGCTTTAGCTACTGTGCCACAATGCTGGCCCCCATGCCAAGGAGTTTCTGTGTGACCCTGAGTATGTGTGTTCCTTTGTGAGATGCAACCTGCATGCACCCCAGGACGCATCCTCACACCGTGGCATTGCAACGAGCACGTGTGGTCAGCACAGGCCCGGTACTTTCCAGGCAAGTGCAGCAGCAGCACTGGCTGCCTGCTGTGAAACGCCAGCAAGGATGGACCCCAGCCTGAGCCGGGCAGTGCTGCGGGCGGGTGGACATACTTTGAATGAGTCCAGTGCTTTGCTTGGAAATCCCCTATAGAGTGGGGATGGGGTAGATCGGGAAGCACCCAGCACAGAGTGCAGGAGCTGGGCATGCCCCTTGCATGCAGCTGGCCCGGGACCCTGGAGAGGCCCCGCTGCTGTTTATTCAAGCACCACGTCTCTCCCGGCGTCTTGAGACTGGCTGCACTGTGCCCTGGGAACAGCTCTCTGCCTGCTTCTGGGACCCTCGCCGCCGCAGTGCTCCCGGCCCGGGCCCACCGGCCCAGACCCACGGGCCGCAGTGCTCCCGGCCCAGGCCCTCGCCGACTGGCGGCGGAGTCCCTGAGCTCCTTGCTTGTCCAACACCGCCACCCGCTGGCGAGCCGCTGTCGGCGGCGGCAGAGGGTCCCAGCGCTTTTTCCCCAGCTCCTCCTCCCCGTTAATTATTCAAGCCCACACAGGCCCCGGGCGGATTCCAGGGAATTCTCATCTTTTGGGGTACCATGTCTCACCAGCCAAAGCCCAGCCCTCCCTGGAATGATCCTAGCTGGAATGGGCAGGGGATGGGGACACCGCCTTCCTGCCCTTCATAACCAAAGTCTGGGCACTCGGAGTTTACTTTAACCCTCCGCCGCCATCCCGTCCCCCAACTTCTCAGCTGGAAAAATAGTGTCCGAGAGTGCCTGGAGCCCCCAATACGCGCGCCCAACAGGCTTCCCCAGGCCAGGAGTGTTCACTGCTGGTCCCAGTGCCTGCCCTGCACAACCCCCCAAATTGCACAGTAAAAGATGGAGGAAAATGGGGCACCCTGGGCTCCCCACTCCCGTCCCGTAATCGCATAGGTGCCATGCAGGAATGGGCCTTGCAGGAGGAAGTCTTGTGCCCCTTTTTGGCAAATATCCCTGCTGGCTGGCGTTAGAGAACATTGTCCCTTGTGCTTGGGTTTCTTGGCAACACTGCGGGAACCAAGCAGAGCAGTCTGATCTGCCTGACCTCTGCCGTCCTCTCAGAGGGGCACCTGAGGTGCGGGGTGCAGGAGCCTGGGCACAGAGGCCCGTGTAGCAGGCTGTGTGGAGATGGAACAGGCTGCAGCATCCATAGAGCCACCTAGGGCCCCGGGGGAGGGCGGGGGCGGGCTGCTTAGCAGCAGCACCCAGTCCAAAACAGGCCCTCCTCCGCACTGACCAGATTGTTCACCTGGAGCCCAAAGCCCTGCCTAGCACCAAACAATTAATCATTTTCTTGGCCAGAGAAAAGAAACGGGGTTGTGGAGGATTTCTAGCGGGGAGCCACAGGCATGCCTTGCCTGGCTGGAGCTCCTGTTGGCCAGGGGGGCGGAGGGGAAGAGCCCTCACCGCACACCCAGTCCGGAAGGAGCGGCCCCTGTCCTGGCAGAGCCTGCTGGGCGTCCTGGCTCCCCCCACCCCAGCCCCTGACACCCCCCTGGTGCAGGCTCAACCCCAGGGACCCAGGGAGGCCCGCCTGGGCGGCACAGAGCCCAGCCTGGTGCCCACGCGGGTCTGGGTGTGCAGCCAAGCCCTTGCGTTTCTCCCAAACAGGCCTTCCTTGCGTCTCCGTTCACTCGGGAAACCCTTGCTGCCTGGAACCCTCGTGTTGTAGAGCTTTTCGTTTCGTTTCATTTTGTGGTTAATTTTATCCTTTTAAAATCGAGATTCCGCAAATGGAACACAGGGCAGCTCCCAGCTTGCATCAGGTGTAGGGACACCTTCTGCGAGCCGCCTCACGGACAAGCCTCCCCCGTGCCACTCTCCAGGGCGCAAGCCGGGCTGGCAGCGGCTGCTCTGGCTGCTCCGCTCAGGAGGAAGGAAAGGGGGAGGGAGAGGGCCAGAGGGAAGGAAGAATGTGTGCTTTCAGGAGCTCACACGCACAGGTTGAGAATGGTAAGAAGGGCGTGACCTTGAGGCCCACTCACTGCCCTTGTCTTTGCCCAGTGCACCTGTTAGCACCAGGGTCTGGCGGCTGGGCCCCACTCCACCAGCCTCCGCCAACACCCGCCTCGGCAGGCAGGCAGTCCCTGGTGGGGAGAGGGTCCCGACCTGCAGAACGCCTCTGCCGGAGGTGGTGGGCAATCCAAGAATTGAGACATTCCTGGGGGCTGTGGCCAGGGGCAGGTAAAATGGGCGCCATCCCGTCAACACAAGCCTGGGGCCCCAGGCCTCCTCCAGGTCAGGTGCTTCAGCAACTGCTGAGAGAGAGAAACTGGCATATGGGGTGGGGGAGGACAAAGTAGTCCTGTGTTAATATGGTAGTTTGAAAATAAGAACCGAACAACTTTACCAAGGGTAAAGGAATTCACGTTCTAGACACAGAAAGGGTTAAACCTGGGGTGGCCCATCCTCCACTCCAAGTCCAGCCCGGGGCCTCCAGCACCAGGCCCTGCAAGGACTCCCCCCACCCCTGCCCCCAGCGAGGAGCTCTGGAAGCAGAGTGAGGGCCTGCCCCTTCTCATCCTATCCGCTCTGAGGGCCACGGCAAACCTGAACTGAGCGGGCAGGGGTCTGAACTGGAAGCAAAAGAAATTTCAAAAGCAGGTGGGAAGTGGGCAAACGCGACAGGAGCCTGGGCCCCCCTGCACCCACAGGGCTGGGTCCCTAGTTAAGACCCAGTGGTGCTGGGCACCGGGACTTTTCTGTTGACGGCGGCCCCCTGACCCAAGCCCCTCTGCCAGGCCCCTGGAGCCTCCCACTGGCTAGCCGGATCCCTGCCTCACTCCTTCCAGACCACCTAGGGTGGGCGAGGTTTGGGGACCCAGAGCCTGGGCGAGGAGGGGACCCAGGCAGGTGCGGGGAACGGATGATAGGAGGAAAGGTTCCAGCAGAAAGGTCCGGAGGGGCTACCAGTCGGCGGGGAGGGGGGTCACTTCCCGCTTAAATCCCACACAAAACCAGCGGCTTGTAACGGATGTCGGTAGGGCAGCAGTAAGCAGCCTGCCCAGCCCACTGCGGGAGGCCGCAGCCCAAGCCGGCAGTTCTTTGAGGCCTGGAGGCTGCGTGGTCTCCCCTTCTTCCTCCCTGTTCCCTAGCGACTCTCAGCGCCCGGGAGGCTGCGCCTTTCTGGGTTTAGGATCCGACCTAAGACCCACAGGCCTAGGGGTGAGCATGTGGGAGGGAAATCCGAACCTCAGCCGGAGCTAGAGCGGCTCTGGAGGCGTTGGGTCCCAGAACCTGGTTAGGGGCGTCATCTCCGCTAATAAGCCTGGAGAGGTGGGGGGCTCCTGTCGCCCCAGGTGCGGGGGCGGGGAGGGCACGCGTGTTCCGGGTTGCGAGCGCAGGCCTGGGGATGGCGTGGGCGAGCAGGTGCTGAGGGCGAGAGCGAGCGAGGCCCAAAGCTGGGCGCAGGCGGGGAAACAGCCGGGCAGCCCCGCTCCGGCTGATTTATGGCCCCCTTCCCTCCCGCCAAAGCCGCTCGCTCGGCCGCGGCCCCAGCCCTCCCGCCTCCCCGACAGCTTGCAGCCGAGCCGGGTCCGTGGTCCCCGGGGAGACGGCCGCGCTCGCCCCCAGCCCGGCCGGCGGTGAGGCCGCCTCCAATCTGCCGGCGGGCGCAGGAGGCGAGCGCGGGGAGTCGGGCGTGAGGCCACCGCTGACCTCGCCCGAGGGAGGACCAAGTTTCCGTTCGGAGTGGCCTCACGGGGCTGCTCTGGGCCTCGGCTTTGCGGGACCGCGGGGCGCCTCGCATCGCGGCTGCGGTCTCGGACGCTGCGCCCCAGATGGGGCCGGGTTCGTTTTCCGGGATCCCCGGTCGGGGCGGCAGCGCGCGGGGGCCGGGCTGGAAAGGCCTGGGCTCGCGGCCTGTTGCCGGCGCTGAGCGGGCGCCTTGGGCCACGGGCGCACGGGCTGCGCTCCCTGGGCCTGCCGAGGTCTGCGCTCCGGGGCGGGTGCGGAGAGGAACCAGGCGCTGGGCGCGCTTCAGATCTGCCTGGCCCCCGGAGGCCGACCACAGATGTGGGGAGCGCAGGGGCGTGCATCATTCGCACCGCTGGAGCCAGTGCCCCCGCGCTGCTGGCGAAGCGTACCCCCGGGCGCGCGGCCTCCCCGCATGGATTCGGAAGCCTTTCTTCGCAGAAGTCTACACTGGCGCTTGCAAGCTCCGGTGCGTTCCGGTCCCCAGGCGCAAACGTCAAAGCGGTAGCCGAGGAGGCCCCTATAGGGGGCGGGGGCCACGGCTCCCTTCGTCCCTTGGGCTGCCTGCTCCGGACTGCGAGGGCCTCTCCAGGTCTCCCGACGTCCGGGGCGCGATCTTCCCGCGGTCGGTACGTTCCCTGTGCCGGCCCCCGTCCCGGGGCACCCACTCGGCCTTCCCACTTCCCCTGGGGCCTCAGCGCCTGTAGAGAACTGCGAATCGCCCCACTCAGGAAACAGCCAGAACCCAGCGGGGGGCCGGGGGGAGAGACGCCCGAAAACAACTTCATGGAATTCCTTCCCCGCTCAGGCAGAGGGGTTCACTGTACACGCGTCCTTCTCCACCGCACGGAGCCCCCTTTTTGCGGCCGGAAGAAGGAAAACAAAAACCAGAAGGGGGGGCGCAGGAAAAGGGGCTAGGGCGGACCGCGAGGAGCCAATTCGTTGCACAACTGTGGGCCTGGGGTGGGCGCCCCTGCAACCTTGGTCGGGAGATGGCCCCCATCTAGGCCCGCATCGCCCACCTGCGGGAAGCCGAGCTGCGTGGAAGCCGCCGGCCAACAGGGGGGTCTACGCCGGCATTAATTCAGTGTCTGTTTCAATCACACGGAAGGGGACTCGGCCGGCGGCTGGCGGAGTCGTGACATCACCCCCAAAATCGGACAGAGCCAATCAGCGACACCACTCCGGGGACACGTGGGCGAGCCCCCTTTAAAACACACGCACACACACGCACACACACACACACACACACACACACACCAGGAAAAAAAAAAGACAACAACAAAAAAAAATCCACCCAGCCCCAAAGTAAAAGTGACACAAGTTCATTTTTTTTTAGAGGCGGGGGCGGCGAAGGTGCGCGGCGAGCGCTGTCCGCGGTGCTGACGGCCCCGGCGCGGCGCACGAAGCCCGGCAGGTGCGGCCGGCATGCGCCGCTGGCCGCCGCCGCTCTCCGCGGTGCTGACGCCGGCAGGTGCGCTCCGCTCCGCCGGCCCCGAACCGGCTGGGGCTCGCGGCTCTCCCTGGCGCTGACCCCGACACCCTCGGCCACTGCTTGGCCTGGAAAAAAACGGTGCGATTTAGATTTTTGCCCCTCCAAAAAATAGCCATTCTTTATTTAGATTCCAGCATTCTCGCGTTTCCTCTGTGCCAAAGGGGCCCTCGGGCGTCCTTCTCCCCCTTCGCTCTCCCTAACTTGACGCACCCGCCCTCCCCTTCCTCCCTGACACTCCCACCACCCCCCCTCGACTCGGCGGCTCGGCGCGGTGCTGCAGAAGATGCGCTGAGCCCTTCTGGATCTAATGCGCAGAGGAGGCTGGCCCAGCGCTCCCGGGCTCCCCCAAGGCTGAACTTAGTCCAAGGTGCCCGCAGGCTCCCTGCCCGCCTTCCCCATGCCAGCCCGCAGCTAGGGGCAGGGGCAGCGGCGGCGGCTGGGGCCGGGGGTGGGTGGGGAGCTGCGGGGACGGTCGGGTCGCATCTTGGCTATGGAAGGCTCCAATGGCTTTGGGATCGACTCCATCCTCTCCCACCGTGCGGGCAGCCCCGCCCTTCCCAAGGGGGACCCCTTGCTCGGGGACTGCGGGTCGCCCCTGGAGCTGAGTCCGCGCTCTGAGAGCAGCAGCGACTGTTCCTCGCCAGCCTCGCCTGGACGGGACTGTTTGGAGACCGGCGCCCCACGGCCTGGCGCAGCCCCGGGCCCCGGTTTGGACTCCCACCTGCAGCAGGGGCAGCTCTCGGCGCCGGCCCAGTCGCGCACCGTCACCTCCTCCTTTCTGATCCGGGACATTCTTGCCGATTGCAAACCACTCGCGGCCTGCGCACCCTACTCCAGCAGCGGACAGCCGGCAGCCCCCGAGCCTGGCGGACGCCTTGCAGCCAAGGCCGGGGAGGACTTCAGAGACAAGCTGGACAAGGGTGGCAGCAATGCGTCGTCCGACTCTGAATATAAAGGTAAGAGAAGTGGAGGCGGCAACTTGGCGGGAATGTGATCTTTGCAAAACTGGTGTTTTAAAAACTTGAGTGCGCGCGCACACGGGAACCTGCCTGTGCACCCACCTCCAGGCTCCCTCCAGGCCCAGGCTGAACAGCCGGTTTCATGGGAACCACGCAGCCAGTTCCGTGGCTGTATCCAGTGGACGGTGTGGGGGCTGGGAAGGGTCCGGCGTGCTTGAGGAGACTCCCCAAATGCACTAAGCAAACTTTCTAAACTCCAGCTGGTACTAACCCCATGCAGCAGTGGACCAGTGGCTCTCTGGGAAAAGACTTTGTGCAGGCAGTGCTGGGGACCGACCGTCACCGGGCCGCAGCGGAAGCCTGTAAAGTGCTTTGGGAACCTTCACGATCCTTGCCCCCTCTGAGCCTGGCTTGCCAGGCTGGGAAGAGCAGATGGCGTGCAGTGGAACCAGCAAAAAGAAAGACAGGCTTGGAAGTAGAGACAGCACCCACGGCGGACTTGCTGCCTGCCTACTTCCCGTTTATGTAGTGGACTATCCAATCTTCATTCTGACTTGGCCAAAGAGCTAAGATCAGAAACAAGAGGAAAAAGAGAAGGAAAGGAAGGGACAGGGAAGAGAGAGCAAAGGGTGGAGGAAAGAAAAGAAAAACACACAGAACATCTCCTGGTCACTATCTCAACATTAGCTGTTCGTCAGGGTCGGACCCCCCAGGAGAGGAATTCGCGGGGTGACGGCCACGGGGGGGGGGTGAAGAGCCCTGTGCCCCTCATTTGATAGAAAAGGGAAGCTGGCAGGCTTTTCCCTGCTGCCCTGGTGGTGTAAATAATTTCTGGGACCTCCTTTTCATAAGACAAAATGTCCCTCCAAAAGCAGCTTCTTTATTGTCTGGGGGCCCTGCACCTGCTAACCCCTTCACACAGAAACTTGCAGGAAGGCTCCTGCACGCCCTCCTCCCAGCCAAGAACTCGCTAGCTGCTCGCTCTGCCCTGTGAGGCCGCCCGCTCGCAGCCCGTTCCTCTCAGCTTCCCGTGCAACCTGCCGAGGCTCCTTCAGCCTGGCTGGGCCCTGCCACGCTTGAAAAACACCCAGATTATGAGGTCCCCCCCACACACACCCAGGAAGAGATTGAGAGGGACGTAGGTCCAGCAAACCTTGCTCCCCCTCCGCGGCCTCATCCAAGAGGCCAAATTTGTTCTAGAGACAGGCAGGTGTGTCGGGGTGGGGAGGTGGGGGTGGTAGGGTTTCCTTATTTCCAATTTGCAACCATGACAAGACCACTCAGCTCTGGTTAGAGCCACGGCAGGGGCCGGCTTCTCCAGCCTTGGTGCTAACGGCTGGTAAAGGCTGTGAGGGCGGACGGGCGGGTGCACAAGAAAACGCCTCTACAGCTTTTCCTCCAGGTTTGATATCGGAGGGTGCTGTAAGGGTATTGGAATACCCAAGTTCTTCAGTCCGGGGTGACAGTCTGATGAGAGAGAAGGGTCTGGCAGCTGGAAACCTCCTCCCCTCCCCGCGTCCCATCACTGTCCTTGGTGTTCTAGAGTGATTCTGAAATGTGGAGGTAACTCCTCCAGAGCCCCCTGGGGGGGTGGACAGGAAGCCTGGCCGGTGGCAAGGGGAGGGGCCCTGCCTTCCACGCTGAGTCACTTCTTCTAAGGAGGGCGAAGGGGGAAATTGCAAGAAGCTGCGGGGAAGGAAGGCTGTGGGAGGCCAGGGCCTGCAGGAACCAGAGCAGCCCGTGGGCTGGAGCTTTGGGCCAGCAGGGCTCCAGACCAGAGCCTCTGATGAAGCTGAGGCCCGACTGTCCCAAACGCGGAAGCATCCAGGGCGTGGGAGAGAAAGCCGGGCAGCCCCAACCGCCCACACACCCGGGCCTCGGCTCCTGCAAGCCAGGGGTTTTAAGTTTGGGTCCCTCTTTCGTCAGATCCATTTAGACACTTCACCCTTGCCCCGCCCCATCCCTTCTTGACTGTGGCTTGGCCCCGGTGAGGGGGAGCAGGACCCCGGCGGCTGGACGACGGAGGACGCAGGTTTCTTCCCCTCCTGCAGCTCTCGGCTCCCAGCTCCAGGCTGGGGCCCGCTGCCCTCTCCGCAACAAAGCTGCCTTTCCGGTTGAAAAGTCTTGCTCCCCAGTGGTTCAATTAACCGGATTATTGTTTCCTACAGAGAGAAATCTACCCACATTCAGCTGCACCCTGTCACAGCAAATGCCAGGCACGATGAAACTCACCGTTAAAGAGAATAAAGAGAGATCAGGGCGGTGAGGGCGCAGAAGCCTGCAGCCCACACTGTGTGTTTTGGAGAGATGGGGATCCCCTCCAGTCACAGATTCGCTTCGTGAGAAGGAGGGAGAGCAGTGCGTTTGTTCCACGGAGAGACCGAGGGTGCAGTTCTTGTGTAGTCGGCACCAACGAAATTGTCTGGACAAAAATAAATCTGCATTGGCCCTGGCCATCCTTGGCCCCGGGGGGTAGGGACCCGGCTGTGGGCTGTAGCCACACAGTGCCAGGGTGGGCAAAGTGACCACAAGGAAACCCAGCCAGCAGGCAGCGGGAGTGCCTAACGCAAGGCGCTTCGAGCCCGCTTGCCTTCTCCAAGGGCCCAGCGCCCGGTTCTGGGCCAGCGATCGCCCACTAGACAGTTCGAAGGCAGCACTACCGCGGCAGGTCCGTGTCTAGAGCGGGGGGCCCGAGGGAGGTGGGCGCAGGACTCCCCTCTGCAGGACTGCTGCGCGGGAGCCGGTTTTTATCTCTCCACGCGGGTTTTTCCAACCTGACACAGGTGCTCAGCGCATCCCTGTCCTCGGGGATACGGGTGGGTTGTGTGTGGTGGGGCGGGGTGACGCGGGAGCTCCCTCCCATCTCCCCACGCGGCGGGTCCGGTCCGGTTTCATCGCGGTGGCGGCTCGGACCATCCCATCCCGGCGCGCGGCGGGGGAGCGGAAAGCGGGTTGCGTTTTCTCCGGGCTCTTTCTCCCGGGAACTCTCCGAGGCGCAAGGCCTGGGGAGCTTCCTCCACCGCTCTCGGTTCGCGCCCTGCTCTTGGGGGAGCTGGGAAGCCGTCCGCTCACAGCGCTCGCTGCGCTTGGAGCGGCGGGGCCAGCGCGCCGCGTTTAGCCGATCGCCAGCACCGGGGCGGGATGGAGCGGGCGGCAGCCGGGCCCTGACGCGCCGCTGTCTCCCCAGTGAAGGAGGAGGGCGACCGCGAGATCTCCAGCTCCCGGGACAGTCCCCCCGTGCGCCTGAAGAAGCCCCGCAAGGCGCGCACGGCCTTCACCGACCATCAGCTGGCACAGCTGGAGCGCAGCTTCGAGCGGCAGAAGTACCTGAGCGTGCAGGACCGCATGGAGCTCGCCGCCTCGCTCAACCTCACCGACACCCAGGTCAAGACCTGGTACCAGAACCGCAGGTAAGGCGGGGCTCGTGCGCGCCCGTCAAGGCCCACAAGAAAGGTCCCCGAGACTCCTTCCATTCTGTGAAAGTAAGCAAACTGGGCCGAGCGCATTCTCACTGTGACGGCCCAAGGAGGAGTGTGGACTCAGGATGCAGTGCCCAGTCATCCGGGGCAGGTGAACTCCCGCCTGCCCCAGCTGGCCTCCCGAGCTCTCCCTGTGGAAGCCTCAGCTGTGGCGGGGTGTGGGTCTCCAGTGTTGCTGGAGCCAGCAGCCATGGCCCTCAGGTGCCGGTGGTCGTGGTCCCATCCCAGTGGCCCCGTGGGTCTGCGAGCTTCCGCTGAGTTCCTCGGCCCTGAAACTAGAGGAGGGCACCCGCCCGATTTTGGCATGCCAGGGACAGGGTGACCCGGAAAGCAGAGCTTCCTGGGGCCTGACTCCTTGTGTCCCAGCGGAAGGCAGACGAGGCACAGGTGCAGCAGCCACACGAGTGAAGCCCACACAGGACCACCCTCACGCAGGCCGATGGCTGCAGCTCAGCTGAAGCTGGACTGGGCGGTTCTGTTAAAGGAGCTGGAAACACTGGCAAGCCCCATGAATAATAAATACTGATTACTGCCCGGGGCATCAATAATTAAGGTCTGTTACAGTAATTACACAATTATGATGATGATGAATCGTTCCGGAGAAGCAGGGGGCTGGGGGTGACTGGGACCCAGGCTGGCCAGCGTCAGCTTCACCAGCAGGTGAGCCCGACGGTCTGGGTCGGCCTTCTCTGGCCTTGGCCATGGGAGTCTAGGGGCTGGGAGTGGGGACGGGTGCAGCGCAGTGGCCTCAGCTCACGTCTGGAGCCTTGGCCCCGGGTGGGGGTGGTGGATCGCGCCTCGCCCGCCACCGTCCAGGGAGGTCTTGCTTCCGGAGGAGTCCCAGTGGGACCGAGGTGCTGAGGGCCCGCCGCGGCGGGATCCAGGACCGGGCTTCCTCTAGATCCCGGGCTCACTGCTGCTTGAGGTGATGGCAAAAGGGTGGCTTATCAGTTTGTTTTTCTGCAGAATGGGGTCAGGAGCCACGGCAGGCCGGGCGTGGGCCGTGGGAGCGCCGTCCCCGGCGCGGGCTCCTGCGGGTCCCCGGCCCTCACCTCGCCGTGCGCGTCTCTTTTGGTCCCCAGGACTAAGTGGAAGCGACAGACAGCCGTCGGCCTGGAGCTGCTGGCGGAGGCGGGCAATTACTCGGCGCTCCAGCGGATGTTCCCGTCGCCTTATTTCTACCCGCAGAGTCTGGTTTCCAACCTGGACCCGGGCGCGGCGCTCTACCTGTACCGGGGCCCCAGCGCCCCGCCGCCCGCGCTCCAGAGGCCCCTCGTGCCCCGCATCCTCATCCACGGACTCCAGGGCGCCAGCGAGCCGCCCCCGCCGCTGCCCCCGCTGGCCGGCGTCCTCCCGCGCGCCGCGCAGCCCCGGTGAGGCGCCCGCCCGCCCCGCGCCCAGGTCAACGTCCCTTGGGCTGGGGGCCGCCGGCCTTCCCGGGCGCCTCCCATCTCTGCGTCCCCTCGAGGGTCTCGGGCCAGTCCGCCCAAGCCGGGCCCCCGGCTGCGTCCCCTTAGCCCTCCTGGCGCGGCCCGCGGTCTCTGTGCGTTTCCTATCCCCTCCAGAAGCCCCCTTCTTTTCTCTCAGGAGCGGGCGAGCTTGACCTCCAGCTCCGTCCCCTCCCACAGCCCCAGACTTCCAAGCTCTAGATGGAGACCCCCGGGAGAAGCGGGGTGCGGGGACCCTGCGCTTGCGGCTCCTGCTTCGAGCGCCTGCACTGTACATACCGTGTGCAAAGTGTATATGAAGTTATTTATTCGTGACCCACGAGCCCGTGGCCGTGTCCGTGAACTGTGAGTCTGTGCCCCTGTCCCCCCCACCGGGAGGGGCGGCCGAGGACCGAGGGGGGTCTCGCTCTCCCGCCCCGCCCGGGCCCCTCCTCCGCCCGCCCCGGAACAGCCGAGCCTGCCCGGCTCGGCTCTCTTCTCTTTTTTAAATGTCGAAATAAACTTCTTACAAACGACCAGGCGCCCGTGCGCGCTGCCGTGGGGTCTGCGTCAGGCCCTTCCCCACGGCCCGGGACTCGGTCTCCTTCCCTGTTGGGACGGCGTAAGGGTGCGCCCCCAGACCGGACGGGTTTGGGGGGGGGCGGCCCTTCCCGGGCCTCAGTTTTCCCATCTCTACAATGAGGCAAGCGCGTGGCTCCTCCCCTCTCGGCTCCATACGGTTCCCCGTGGCTTGCAGAAGGTCCCGCGGGCCGCTGGCGGAGAGGCGGGGGTCGGCCAGGCCGGGCTGCGGTGCCCTGGCTGAGCCGACTCATCTGGCCGCGACAAGGGCGCCGGCAGCTGGTGACCGGCCAGCCGGGCTCAGCCGACAGCTGGGCTCCGAGGCGGCTCCCCCATCATCCCACCCTCCTCCCCAACCCGGGTAGCAGAGGCTCAGGACGGGCACCTGACAGCCCCTGGGGTCACTTCGGTCCCGACTTCCACCTCCCCCACCCCCTCATCGGGGAGGGGTTCCTCGCAGTCTCAACGCGGGCCGCAGGAGGTGGGGTCGGGGTCCCGAACCGGGCCGCTGTCTGACTTCTCCAGGCCTCCAGCCCCGGAGGGCCAGGGTTGCCCCCTGGCCTCTCCCTCTGGGGAGGTGGGAGCAGGCGCTCTCCTCACACAGGGCACCTACAGTTGAGCCTAGCACAAGAGCTGCCCACGCCTGGGAAGTGCAAGTTTTCGGGGCAGGACTGCCTGGGAAAGGGGGGGCTGTGGGAGACCCTGACCCTGGGGGGAGAGCCCAGCTCCATGGTCAGGCCGGCTACTGTTGCCTCCCCCCCGCCTCCGCGGCCCCCAGACACCCTCACCCCAGCAGCCTTCTTTCCCCGGATGGCCAGGACAGCGAGGGTATTATTCTAATTTTTTGCAAAATGCACAGCAGCTAATTAAGTCAAGGAGCCGTTTGGCTTTGGAGTTTTTTTGCATGTGAAAGGGGCTGCTAAATCCGCAGCCCTGGTGGTGGCGGGGCGGGCCGGGGATTGTCCCCAACTCAGGGTTAATGAAGTGGGAAAGGAGTCTGTCACAGCCTCCTACAAACAAACCCCCCAAGCAACAAACCCTGCCCAAATCCTACACGGATTGACTTAAACCCAGGGGATAAGTGCTTTAAATTAATCTCATTGAATAAGAATGAGACCAAACAAAACTCTTTAAAATCATATTAAAAATCTATCAAAGGACAACTCGCACTGGTGTGCTTCTCATTTGGTGCCAGGGCGGGCGGCGGGCGGCGGCACCCTCACATTTACACAACGCCAGTGTAAACCGCCGGTCCGGTCCCAACTACGTAATGTCCTTGTATGGCAGAGGCCATTTAATATCTTACAGTAATGAAGAACAAGGCTTCACGACAAGTTGATAATTACAGTATTTTAAATTTTCCCGGCTGTAATAACTCTACAACTTGTGCAACAAGGTGGGCGTCTGCCTTCCCACACTCAGGTTAAACTGCTTTCTTTGCTCCCGACCGCGGGGCTGGTGGAGTGCTCCTTTCAGGGGAGTGGGGGGAAGACCCAGGCCCAACAACAGGAAAGGCAGACAGACATGGAAGTACTCAAGTCTGAAACGGGTCCAGCTGTGCCCACTGCCCAGACAGGCCATGCCCTCTATCTTTCCAGAGTGCAGCAGGGGGTGGCTAGGAGGAAGTGGCGGGGCACAGCGAGCAAGGCCTTGCCTTCAGCATGTTCATTCACTCCATGTTCTGCTCCACATTTGGGCTCCTTTCATCAGGAAAGAGGGGAGGGAACTCCAAACCCCACTGGGCCTCATGGACAAGGCCCCTGCCCTGGGCCTCCAGTGCTGAGCCGCACACCGGGGTTCCCAGCAAAGCCCTCAGTCAGGTGGCTGGAGAATGGTCCGATGGCCACGTCCCACTCCATCTAGACTCCGTCTGACTGCAAAGCAAGAAGCCAGCTGAAGGTAACAGAGAAATGGGTGAGTTTGGGAAGAGGTGGTACGGTTGAAAATACACACAAAATTAGAGTGTGTGCGGTGGAATTAGGCTCCAGCTTTGCCTAATTGATGCCTGAAAGGAATAATCTGTCAAGAGCCATACTGAGTGAGATTTTAAGGTTATTTAAATTTGGATCATATTAACCCTCTGTCTGCTAAATCCACATTTTGCCGCTGAGTTCAGAGGGCATCTACCGCGAGGCTGTGGGGGAAGGGCTGCAGGTGTGCCGGGCTGGGGACTCACCTGGCCAGGCCCCAGCCCCTTCCCCGTCTCCTCCAATCACTCGTGCTGGTCCTTCTCTCGTCCAAACTGAGAAAGGGGGCTGAGAGCGGGCCTGCCGCGGTCCTACCCCAAGTCAGGGGTGTCACACCGGAGCCTGTCTGGCCCTGACGGCAGCAGAAGCTGCTGCAGTCTCCCACCTGGGCCAGGGTCCACTGGGGGTCACCCGAGGACCCCTGAGGTCAGACTCCAGGCAAGGGCCTGGGTTTACACTTATTGGAAATCAGTGCACCCCAGGGGTCTTCTTTCAAACCTCCCAGAAAACACAATGGCGGGGGAGGGACAGCTGGGGCCCAGGGTCACCACACAAAGACCCCAGACCTTTCCTAAGATGGGATTGGATGGGCGAGAGAAGCGTGGCCACGGGTGCTCTCTGACTTCAAAGGCGGTCAATCAGAGGTGCCAGTGGACAGGGTGAGGGGGCACGCATGTCAGGGTGCCCGCGTGCGGGGGGCCAGCCACCGCCACCAGCGTTGCATTGTGTGCCTGCCCCCACAGCCTTCCGGGGCACAGCATTGCTCTTCAAGGATGACTTGATTTTCTCCCCCTCTTTTTGAGCAGATTCAGCTCTGGTTTTTAAGATTTTTAATGTCCTCACAGCCACAAATGCTCTAACAGCTCTCAGCGGAGCTGCGAGGGCCTCAGGCCCCTGGCGCAGGGCAGGGTCAGGGCCGCCGCTGCAGTCCGTGCCACCTGCAGCCAGGCAGCAGCCGCGCATGTAGAGGACCAACTCGTAGAACTGACTGGTTGTCCCGGGCTGAGCCCCTCCCATCGGGGACCCAGGTGTGGCAGGGAGGCTTCTCTGACAGAGCAGGGCAGAACTTGGGACGCGTGGGGGCTGCCCTCAGCAGGCCCTTCACGGAGAGCGCTTCCGCCGGTTCCGGAGGCTGCGGGGCGGCTGCGGGCCCTTGGCTGCAGCCTCCATCCCGCTGGAGTACTCGGAGCGCAGGAGCTCAGCCAGCCGGCGACGTCTGCTCTGGGTCGGCTTCCCGAGGGCAGGCCTGCACAACAGTGACAGCAGAGGAAAAGAAACTTTATTATTCTTTTCTTTCCCATTTGGAAGGAGGCTGAGTGGCAGCTGGTTCCGAGACCGTGTGGCTGACATTTTTGTATTAAGAGAGGTACAATCCCTTCCGTGGGCTGGTTTACGTTTTCTATGCACCAGAAGATTAGACACAGCAGTGACAGATTTTCATAATGGTGGCAAAATATCATGGCATTTTTAAAAGTAAGGCTTTGTTCTGTGTTGTGTTCTCGGGAAAGAAAGAGCTGCACACGCTCCCCCAGACGGCAGTCCAGGTGCGTGCGGGCGGCCGAGTGGCGGAGGGACGAGGCCCTCCTCGCGCGGCAGCAGCTCCCCAGCAACCCCACAGTGACCCGCCCCACTCGGACTCAGTGTCCACAGATCCAGAACTTGAGACCCACTGCCAGGGTGTGGGCGCTGGTGTCTGGGCCACCCCAGGCTCACAGCTCCCACACAGTGGGGTACTAGAGGGAAGTCTCCCCTTGCCCTGATCTCTACAGAACCCAGGGCTGCAACTGCTTGGGTGCCGCATCCGAGCGAGCGTGCTCCTAAGGCAGCAGGCTTCCCATTTGATCACACATCAGAGGCGGCGGTTTGTAGTTCAATCACACATGAGAATGATTATTAAAACTGAAGAGTAAAATGTGTCTTCAGATGAGACTTCAACCAAAACAGCGACAAAACAATTACTGATGAAGCCACACTGCCGTGTCGGGCGATCCCTCCGACCCCCCAGGAAAGGGTGGCGTCTGAGGACTGAGGACTACACAGCCGTGGCAGTCTGACGAGCTGCCGTGAGCCCAGGGCCCACCTCGCTGTGCCCATCAGGGTGGCACCGCGCAGCCACGGACCAGAAGCCGGGCCGCTGCTGTGCCTACAGAACTGCACCCAACCTGGGCTGGGAGTACTGTTTGTCATCACCGCCTGGGTGTTGCTGCCCATCCCGACATTAGGAAGATGTGGAAGTCAAGCAGTGTAGGGAACGCACAGGCGAGGTCAGGGGTCAGGAGGGCGGAGCGTGCGTGGTGCAGCAAGGACAGAAACCCACCGTGTGAGCTGCCACTCCTGGAGGCAGGGATGGTTATGACCCTGGTATCACAGAGAAGAGACTGCAGGAGGCATGCCGCTTGCAGAAGCCAACAGAAACCCGGGCTGCGGGTCCAGGAGCAGAGAACCACGCCGGGTAGGATGGCAGGAAGGCCCGACCGGTCAAGGCAGGGGGAGAAGGAAGCATGGTCTGTGCAGGAGGAGGAGGCACAGACGCTGGGCTCAGAAGTGCCTGCTGCTACTGGCCGGGCAGGGC